CAATTTAAGTTTAATACAGAAGTCACTATTCTCATTAAATCATGAGGTGTTAAGGTACGAAATATTTACCCTCACATGGTAACTAGGAAGAAAGTGCATTCGATTAAATATACCTTAGCAACCACTGAATTATTTCTGCCTTAAAAGGAATTTAACGGAATATTGCATAATCTTCACTCATTTTACCCAATGATTGATTGTTGTTTTCGATCGTTTCTTTCAGTTTGCTAGATGTTTGTGTGAAGAGTCCTCCGTAGATGCAGCTTTCGACATGGCAACCGAACGTGCACTAATAACGTCTATGGCGTTTGGCTGTTGTTACCATGACATCTACGAGTAAGCAACCTAAGTCATAGCTTGTTTCCAAACTGCATCTATTTTAATCTTGCTAAGCATTGGGTTTGATCCTGATATAGAGTTAAGAGTCAAAGTATGAGACCTGACCCAATAAGAAAGAAGACCTACTTTAGTGAATGATAATGAAATACTTGTTCCGTCCGCTGTAGGAGAAATATCAATGTCTGCATAGCGTACCATGACGACGATGGAGAAGATTGGCTGGGATAGGACAGTTGTGGCCAGTACTTCCACGCAAGTTGCATCAAAGTGGATTTGATTTCTCAGACTCTCTCCAGCTTTGTCTGCCCTTGTTAATTTCACAACATCGTTGCGGATTAGTGACGTAAATTGATGGTGGAGAATAATCTTCCCAGTGTGGGGCTGGGGTAAGACTAAGCTAGGCTGTGTACAATTCATGAAATTCGCGTTATTTCACGAATTCTTTGACGCTAAAGTGTTGACAAGTGTTTCGCGTTACGTAAGTGAAAACTTTACTCTTAAGTGAAAAATGTACTCTTAAGAGTCGAAGTTACAGTCCAAAATTCAAACGTTACTGTTAGCTTTATTGGCGCACTGATAACCTTGTAAATAGCTCAAACATCCTGAAAAAATTTTCATTCGTTTTTGTATATCTTCATCCTTTGTTCAGTACGATTTTACACACTTCGGGTTTAAACTTTTCGTGGGGAACACGTGTTACAGCTTACACGACGTATTTCAAATTTAACCGCTGTACTATAAACTTGTGTGTTCGACCCTCGACGAACGCCTTCGATATAGCGTCACCCTCCTATGTCAAGCAAACATAACAGAGTGCTTTATTCTATTATTCAAAAAATAAACAAAAATGACCGGGTATCGATGCGTAATTCAAAGCTGAAGTAATCGTGCAGACCATGCTGCAGGTATTCCTCTGCATTGGAGCCTTGCAAATAGATCAGAGCGGGAAAAACGGATGCGATTTGTGCGACCTCGCCGGGTAAACTTCAATCCTACAGAAATATTTGTGATCTACTCCGAACACTTCTCGGAGGACTGTTTCGAGAGATCTGTGTACTTTGAAGGATCTAGGCGAAGAATTCTGTCGGGTTCAGTGCCTACCGTTCAAGAAGAGAAGGGACAAGAAAAACCGTCCTCAGTGCGATCTCGACGCCGGAAAGCGAAGTCTACGAACCTCCACGGGTTTTGTCACCTTTACATATGAGCTGATCAATATCCACCTTTAACAACTCTCTGGCAGAATACCTTACACAAAGGAAAGTACTCGGTGAACATTGTAAATAAGAATGATAAAATAGCCGAATTGAGGATTGAGATTTCTGACCTCAAAGAGCTCACTTTTATACAAAAGAGATGAAAAATATAATTGCGTGCTCTGATTCCAAAAAAAGCTGGCTTTAATATCAGCGAAAGCAGAACAAACAGCTTAAGATACAGAGCGTAACAACACTTTAAAATGTGAGCTTGCAGCCAAAAAACCGAGAAAATGAAAATTTCTTTAACAACCTGTCAAAATATCAACCATCTGACAGCCAAGTCAGCGTGCTATCGAAGGGTCTCAAATTCAGCCCAACGCCCGTGACAAACGAATTTAAAATCAGGCCAACTTTTGCGAGATTTATTCGCAAGACGAATGCGCCTCCGTTACACTTTTCACGGACAAAACAAAGAACCACTTCTGTTTCATATTGTAGCGTTGTTTATAGGAAGAACAGACACACACAGGTGTGGTAAAACAGCTCTTTTTAATCGATGTCCGACAAAACGTAACAACTGGAAAGCATGGCCTCTAAAGATTTGTTGCCATGGTTGTTATGACGTAAATGTGGACCGGAAGTAAATAGAACGGTAACACCGATACCGTTAAATCTCCCCTTCTTCAGGAAACAAAAAAAAAATGTAAACGTAACTGAATGTCACTATCCTAGTTTAAAATAAAACTCCAAAAAAAAGAAAATTAAGAGTTTGTCATGTCCCTTTTTTTTTTTTTGACAACCCCAATCACTGGTAACAGGTAGGTGGTCTAACAATTCGTCCAGATCGAGTGGTGGTCACCGCTGGGGAAATCTCCCGCTTATCTGCTGCAGGCTGAAGTGGATATTCCGGATGTGGCTTGTCCGTGTTCTGCAAAGGTACTGTGTCTGATTGGTCCTTACTGACTGCAGTACTTTGCAGTAGCAGAAATTGGTGTTGCTTTTGGGGATAATCTCATCTCATCTTCACTGTGTGGCATCACTTCGCGTGTATGTCTCGGGTGTCTGCGGTTCCTCCTATAAACTCTTCCATCTTCTGTTCTGACTTGATAGGACCTTATGTCGACTTTGCCTTCGACTCTTGCTTGGGTCCAATCCTTCTTCTTTCCCAAGTGGGATTTTAGTGGCTGCAATCGCATTGTGTCTCCTGGGCGCAGTTCCTTCAGTTCTTTGGCGCCTTGGTTGTAATACAGAGATTGTTTAGCCTTCTGTAGCTTCAACTTCCGATCAACTTCCTCTGGTAGCTTCGGCTTGAGCAATTGGTTTGAGGTTGGGAGTGGAGTCTGTTCTTCTACCGAATAATCGCTGAACAGGTGACGAGTTGAGTATTTCTGTAGGAGTATTTCTCCAGTCCAGCAGGGCAAGATATGGGTCTTGTTCAGACTTGACGGCTTTCTCTAGCAGATGTTTTCTGTCTTCACCGTGTTCTCGACTTTGCCGTTGGACTAAGGATATGTTGGAGAGCTTTTTATATGTTCAAAACCATAAGTGTCTGCGAACTGTTGGAACTTTGCGGAAGAAAAGGGCTGTCCATTAACCGATACAAACTGATCGGGAATTCCATGACGTGCGAGATGGGCTTTCAACTTCTTCACAACTTCGTCTGCTGTCTTGCTTGTCATTCTGTCAACTTCAAAGAAGCTTGAATAGTAGTCAACGGTCACCATGAAATCTGTACCGTTCAGATAAAAAAGATCAACTGCGATTTTCTCCCATGGTCTACTAGGCAGTTCGTGACAAATCATTGGCTCTTTTCCTTGCTCTACAGGCTGGCTGTTGCAAACGGTACACTTTGCTACATAATCTTCGACATCTTTGCTCATCCCTGGCCAGTAAACCACTTCTCTTGCTCTTCTGAGACAGCCTTGGATGCCGATGTGGCTCCGGTGGATCTTAGCCAACATGTCAGCTTTCACGCTCATAGGGATAACTAGTCTTTCACCTTTGAAGACCAGTCCATTCTGCAAAGACAGCTCGTCCCGAAATGTAAAATAACCACTGATGTTTGCTGATACCTCTGCCTTGGTAGCTGGCCAGCTTCTTCTGATTGTTGTCTTCAGCTCTCTCAGGGTAGCATCAGATTCTGTTGCTTGCTGAATAGCAGTCTGCGTTGGTTCCGATACTGGCAAGTATTGTATCATATTGATATGCTCTAGCTCTCCTTCGATGTCTCCTCTCATCTCCTCTATGTACATAACATCTCCTGCTACATTTTCTCTTGTGCTCTTGCGCACTCTGTATGCTCTGCTCAGTGAATCTGCCAGATACATTTCAGTCCCTTTTTTGTAAGACACTTGGAGGTCATACTTCTGCAATCTTAGCAACATTCGCTGAAGACGTTTAGGGGCACTGTGTAGACTTTTACGGAAGATGCTCTCCAAGGGTTTGTGGTCAGTTTGGATCTTGACAGGTCGACCATACACACACTGCTCAAAACGTTCTACTCCTAAAAGTATTGCAAGCATCTCTTTCTCTATCTGGCCATAGTTCCCTTCTGTTTCTGTCATAGAACGAGATACATAAGCCACGGGCTGGCCTCCTTGCACAAGACATGCACCAAGTCCTCTGTCTGATGCATCACACTGCAATTCCACGTCGTCTTTGGGGTCAAAATACTTGAGGACAGGGGCAGCTGAGAGTATCTCCTTAACTCGCTTGAAACTACATCCTTGTACTTGCTCATTCCAACGGAACTGGTTCCCTTCTTTCAAAAGGTCTCTCATTGGGGCTGTAACTTCTGACAGGTTAGGAGCGAACTTCTGGAGGTAATTTACCATGCCGAGAAGTCTCTTGAGATCTTGTTTGCTGGTCGGGGCTGGCATCTCTTTGATACCTTGTACCTTGTCGGGGTCAGGCTTAAGACAATCTTGATATAGAACATGTCCCATAAACTTCACTTCTTTGCGACGGAACTTAAGCTTCTCCTTGTTCAACTTAATGCCAGTAGCGCGGCAGCGTTCTAACAATGCTGTCAGCTTTGCATCATGGTCAGAAAGTGCTTCAGCTTCTGTTTCTCCGACACCAAAAACAAGGATATCATCAAATATTGGCTTAATTCCATCAAGACCTTCCAGGGCGTATTCCAATCTCCTCTGAAACTCTTCCGGAGCGGGTGATATGCCGAAGGGCATCCGGGTCCAGCGGAACCTTCCCCAGGGGGTACCAAATGTGGTCAAAAGACTGCTTTCATCGTCTAGCTGCACATGCCAAAATCCGTTCTTTGCGTCTACGACACTGAAGACTTTAGCATTTGTAAGCAGCGGTAGTAGATCATCGATCACTGGAAGGGGAAAATGATTTCTCCTGAGTGCTTTATTCAGAGGTTTTGGGTCGATACATAGCCTTATCTTTCCATTGCTCTTCTTAATGACTACCATTGAGGAAATCCAATCTGTTGGAACATCTACTGGTTGCAGGATGCCTATCTTAACTAAGCGTTCTAGTTCCTGTTTTAAAGGCTCTTTAACTGCAAAGGGGACTTTCCTCACTGGCAGTGCCACAGGGGTTACAGACTTATCAATCTCGAGGTGAAGCTTTCCTTTGAGCTTTCCTTCTCCTGAGAAGACATCTCCGAATTTGCTCACGAGATCCGGCTGTGTGGGAATCTCATTCGAGAGAGACATGATGTTATCAGTGTTAATCACGATGAGGCCAAACTGCTGCACCGATTCAGCACCGAGGAGTGCTGTGTGACCTGTTGGAACGACGGTGTATTCCGTGAGGAAACACTGTCCATTCTTGGGG